ACATATCAGCTCTCAAAATAACAACTAATCAATTACTTCTAATAAAAATTGGTTTTGAAATTTTATTTAGAATTTAATCCTCATAAAATTGACTTTGAAATTTAGTTTTGAATTGAATTCTGGGCAATTTGATCAAATGCAAATCTAACTATTATTTTATTAAAAATTAAATTTTAAGTTTATTTTAATACATTATTTCAAACTGAATTTAAAAATATGATGTGTTTCAATTAACTGCAGGTTTTCTAAAAATATAATGTATTTTAAGTAATTGCAGGTTTTCCAAAAAATCTAAAAAAATAGTTTTTTCAGTATCTATCAGTATCATGTAGGGGAGCTACAAAGTTCAAAAAAAAAAAGAAAAAAAAAAAAAAAGCATTTGGCTATTAGGTTTCATTATGTAAATTGCTAAATATTTTTTAAATATTTTTATAAACCTCAATTAAAAACTTTAACATTATTTTTTCGTTGCTTTATGTTGCTATATTGTTGCAGCTTTTTCGTTGCTATATTGTTGCAGCTATTTAATTTTTTTTTTTTTTGCATTTTTGTACAATTCTAAAAATGGTCACTTAAAAATAAAATGTATATTGATATATTTTCATTTAATTTTTTTTGTAAAGGTTGTCCAAATATTTGTTATGGGGCCCAATTCTACTAAAGATTTACCATTACTCTTTGTTGTTCGTCAAATGAGAGGTGTTAGCTCTTGGAGTGTTCCTTTTACATCAAAATCTGGGTAATTTTTTCTATAAAAAGAGTTGATAAATAAAGTTTTTTTTATAAAAATTTTTAATTTGAATTTGTGCTATAAATTTAAATTTTAACATGCTTTTTTATTATAATTTTTTTAGGAAATCTTATGATAATGTGAATCACCTGTTGTGTCCACCATTAAATAAAAATTTTCAAAATAAAACTTTAGAAAATTTTTATGTTGATATTTCGAACTCTAATCATGAGGATTTATTTTACTCTTTTAAAGTTTACACACTCAATTATGTAATCAGGTATATTTATACACTCAATTATGTAGTCAGGTGTATTTAAGCATATTTAACTTACCTAAAGTTAAAACATAAGTAAAATGAGAATTAAAGATTGTAATATAAATAAGGTTAACATAAGGGTAAATTTTTCAAAGTTTTTAATGAGTTTTAATGTTTGATGTTAATGCCGCTTCAAACTGACTAAATATTTTGCCTCTTTTTTGACACGTTTACTAAAATTTTTTTAACAAATTTCAAAGTAATTGTTGAACTTTAGTTTGTTTTAATTTAAAATACATTGTTATTGTTGTTATTTCCTTTATAAATAAATCCAATATTTAGGTGTTTAAGTAAATTAACAAAAATTTGCAGAATGTTTTATTAATCAAGTCAAATTGATTTTGGATGCAGAAGTTGCATTTTGTACAAATTTCTGAGCATTTGCACTATAGGTTTAACTAAAAACAATGCTAGAAAAGGGTGATCATTTAATTTGGCAACTTTTTTGATTAATCTGAGGCAGATTCCTTCAAGACCCTTTGATTTGAACATGGGCTCTTGTTACATATGATTGTCGCACATTTCTCTATGGTCAAAAGTTAAGAGCTAGAGTTAAGAGCTAGAGATATTGCTAAACATGGTAAACGTAAGCCGTATGCAAAAAGACTAAGGCAAAATAAGTTTTTCATATTAAATCAGGAGGGATACCAAATGATGCCAGGCAATGAATAGCAGACATTCCTGCGCAACGATTCTGATGGATATTTTTGAAGTGAGTGTTCCATTTAAGGTCATTTTGTAATGTCGTACAGGAGTTAAAGTAAGGATTGGGTTTCTAACTTATTGCCTGCAACAAATATTGCCAAACCCTTGGAACCTTTTAAGGAGAAATCAATCAAATGAATTTTTGTGTTATTGACATGCAATTTAGCACCTAATGACCAATTTAGCAAATTATTAACTTTTTCCAACAAATTATTAGAATCATTGCATTTGAAATGATGTAATAGTAAAGTGTCATTGGTGTACAAGTTTAAAGATTGGTCAAGGACCGACATACCATTGACAATCATGGCAAAGAGAAATGGTCGGAGCACAGACCTTTGTAGAGCTCTACTAGTGGTATTAGTCTATGAGACTGAAGTCAGAGAGACACCGGATATAATGACCTTTTGAGAATGGTGAAATAAATATGATTTAATCCAGGTTAAAACAGTTTACGGTAATTTAAATTTATATTTAGCTGCGATGAGAGATTTTATCAAATGTTTTTTTTTAAGTCAACTTTAATACATCGAATATGCCCATCTGAAAATAAGAATTAGCTTATGGTCCAGTAACAGAATGTTAGTTATACGTTATAGTGACCAGGCACTAACTAAATTGAGAAGAATTAAATTTTTTTCGAAGATAAAGAAATAACCTTTATGAAGGAACTAATTTTTTTCCAAAGCGATAAAATTAAAAAATATAAATCATAAACTGAATTAAAATGTCAACACTGTTAAATCAGATATTTTATTTATTGCATTTTCAGTTATTTGAAACAATTAGGGTTTTGTTTACTTGTCATATATTTAACATAATTTAACTAAACTTTTCTATTTAAATAAATTTTCTATGAAATAACTGCTATTAATATATTCTTAAGAATTTTTTTTTTTTTTGCTTTAATTTTTAATTTAATTTTTAGAACTTCTTTTATTTTTTCTAAAATATTGTTTCATTAAAAAAATAGTTAATGGAATATTTTTATAGTTCTAAAAGTGGCATGCGTTTATGTGTTGCAAATCCTGCTCAACCAGTAGTAAGTTGTTTCAGTAGTCTTTGCACTATAGTTTTCTTAGTACCGTTTGCTTGAATATATTTCAACATTAGCATTTTAAAAAATGCGTAGTAAAAGGATTTTTTAATTTAACTTTGTTAAAATGATTTTTAGGTGTACTTATATGAGTTTGCAAATGATGAGGAGAGGGTCCTTGTTAAAGCTTCATCAGAAAGCAAAATTTGTGCAACCATTGCAATTCAAGATTCAGAAGTAAGTATTAAAGTGCTTTCTGAATATTGTTTTTTGTGATTAAACAAAAAGTTTGTTTAATCACAAAAAATGGGTTGGTTTTATATTTCTTCTTTTATATTCTTAATTCTTTTTCCACTAATTTATAAATACTTTAAGTTACATACAAACTACATTTTATACCCAATCATCAATCTTTTTGCTGCTTTCTAAATATTATGATTACAATGTAGTTAAGTTGCAATGGATAAAGTTAAATCAATTTATTTGTTTACATAAAATGTTTTTTAGTCAAAAATAGCATCTATGTTGTTAGAAAATTGGATTTCTGGGAAAAGATATATTTTGACATATATTATTTGATGAACAATATATATATTTGATAAAACATCAAAATATCAAATCAAAATAGAAGGGAAATCATACTAATTTCATGCACAAAATTTGCAGTGAACATCATATGCAGTGAGCATCATATGCAATGAACATCATATGCAGTGAACAAAGTTTGCAGTGAACATCATTTGCAATGAACATCTTATGCAGTGAACATCATTTGCAGTAAACATCTTATACAGTGAACAAAATTTGCATTGAACATCTTATGCAATGAACAAAATTTGCAGTGAAAAAAATTTGCAATGAATAACAATACAAATTATATAATCATACACTGTGAACATCATACTACTGTGAACATTATACTACTGTGAACATTATACTACTGTGAACATCATATGCTACTTTAGTTACACTAAAACTATTTTAAGATAAATTTAAATAATTAGAAATTATGGTTTTAACAAATGTTACTGCAGAAAACATTTCCTTATCATTAAGAATTGGTTTAAATAAATGTTACTGTAATAAATCTTTCTTTATCATTAAGAATTGGTCAACAACAAGTGTTAAAAGTAACTACTAAAATACAATTAAAATGTTAAAAATGAATCTAAGATTTTATACAAATAAAAATATTAAAAATGTTATCAATAATTTAAATGAAATTTTGAAAATTATCATCACAAAATTCAAAAGAAACATTTAAAGGAAAAATTAAAAAAACTTCATGAAAAAGTTTACAAAAAACATTAAAAACAAAACAAAACAATATATTATAAAATAATATATATATATATACATATATATATATATATATATATATATATATATATATATATATATATATATATATATATATATATATATATATATATATATATATATATATATATATATATATATATATATATATATTGTATAAAAAACTGCACTTATAACAAAGCTTATAACAAAACACATTTAGTTGAGTAAATTAATTAAATTTATTGTTTTTGTTTTTTTTTTTAAATCACAAAAACACAAATTAAAAGACTAGAATTTTTTTAAAAACATACAAAATGTTTTTTTTTTTTTTTTTCATAAAAACATTCTGAATATTTTTATTTTATTTGTGGAGTGTGGAGTGTTGCTACATCGAATATCTTATAGCTTACTGCTACAAGAGAGTGCTGCTACATCAGCTATATTATAGCCTGCTGCTACAACGGAGTGCTGCTACAACGAATATCTTTTAGCCTGCTACTTCAAGGAAGCGCTGCTATATAGGCTGAGGGTTTGGTTGGTGCAGGCAGTCAATCAAATAATAAAAAAAAAACATTTTAGAAAAAGTTTAAACTTCTTATGTTTAAAGTTGAAAGTTCCCATAGTTTCCTGTAATCACTCCTCACAAAAGTTTTTTCTAAACTCCAGAGCTTTCTTAGCAATTTCATAAAGATGCGACTCACTCTGAAGCTGACATAAATCAAACTTAACTAGGTCTGTCATCTTAACCTCAATTTCAATAGATTTTACTGCGTTTATTGTGATTCTATCTGTACTTTTTGCCTCCTCCATCCTTTCCAGCTGAATATTTTTATTTTTAATTGAGTTTTTTAATATTTCATCCAGTTCTTCTTTAATATACATGTTTCGCTCTCCTTTTTGATCTAAATAGAACTTAATATCCTCCTTTTTGGCCTTCTCAGAACGAAAACGATCTTAATTTACTTTTTGCTCAAAATTTGCTAATGAAATATCAAAGAGTGTATTACTCTCTTTTAAAAACTAATTCTGTAACTTAGAGAAGCCATCGCTAGAGTTTCAGTTCAATGATTTAAAATGATGCAGATTTATGAACTTATGGAGCTTTATTATCTTATCCTTGACACTGGATCTTTTTTCACTGGATCCACTGATGATAAAATCTTGAAACTTTGCTTTCTTCCAAGCGGAGCAATTGCATCGAAGGCAGCACATCTTTGTTCTGAGGGCAGACTACTATCAACTTTGAAATTTTATTGATCTAAAATAAAATTAGACAAATATTTATCATTTTGGTTTTTTTGTTCTTACATAAATTTTTGCTTCATTGTGTCTAATTTTAAACATTTAGGAAAGGGGAACGGGTAACAGATTAAATATTTATTGCATAAAATAGAACATTTTTAAATTTTATCATTGTTTTACAAAAAATTATTTTTTGTTCTACTTGCAAGATTTTAGAAACTGGATGTATCTTAGAATATTTCTGATGGTTGCTAGCTGGTTTATTGATAGCTCATTGATACTTAAGGAGAAACAGCAGCCTCCATGGATTAATTGGCACGCTGCACTTTCTCTTCTCAACCTTTTTTTTTGTTTTTTTTTGAGTACGACCAGTTATTACTTTTATTTTTAGTTAATGCTAAAACAATTAAAAAAAAATTAATTCTAGTGTCCCCCTAAAAAAGTTACAATTTATTATAGAATTTTCAAGTAAATGTAAGTAAATAAGTGATTAAAATCAAAATATTGAAGATATACATAATAAACAATTATATATAAAAAAACTAGTTTTTAATTATTACTATAAGCAATTAAAATCAAAATCCAGTTAAAACAAAACAGTTTACAGATAACACAAAGGTTGTTTAACTAGTAACCCCCTCAGTGAATCAGGCTTTGATGAACCTTCTGTGCCAAATAGGCCAGATGGTCTGATTCTTATATAGTCTTAAAACAGTGGCTTTCTAAATCCTCTAGGGTAAGGAGCATTAAAAATGTAAAATTGTTGGATTTGCATTTAAAAATCAGGAAATTCAAATGTCTGCAAAAAAATCAGGGAATAATCAACAAAATTGGGCTAAAATTTAGTACAAATTAATAAAGTACAAATTAGGGAGAAATCAGGAAAAATCTTTATCAAACTTATGTCAGTTTTATATCATACATATAATATAAAATTTTATTCAAAAGTTTTATAAATTTTTGTTCAGATTCTCTCGATTTTGTTTTTTGCTTCCACTTGGATATTTTCTAGAACTAAACATGGTTTTTTAGTGTCCATCTCAAATCGTATATTCTGGTGTGTACGCCACAATGACTACACAAGTTGGAATAACAGTGGAGGTATTTCAGTATATTTTTTATATTTGAAATTTGTTAAATTTAAATGAAAGCTCAAAAATTTTTGATTGTTTATTCAAAATATTATTAAATTATTTTTGTGTTTAAAAAGCACAAAAATTATAAGAATTAAAGTCTCTATATTCTCAACTACTATAATAGGGGAATAAACAGTGTTCAACTTCAGGACTTATATTTCCTAACCGCAGAAAGTGTTTAACTACATGCCTTATATTTTTTAACCACAGAAGTTGTTTAACTGCACTTTTTTAACCACAGAAATTGTTTAACTTAACAACAGAATAATCAAGCATTTAACTGCAAGTCATGTTTTTTTCCAGAAACAACATTTACCATATGGCAAATTTTATATTGTAATAATGGTAGAAGATACAGATGAAGCTTGTGTAGTTCGGAGTGGTAAAATCAATCCATTCTCTTCTGGAAGTATTGATGTTGATAATGGAGGTGAGACAATAATATAATTGAGGTAAAATATAGCAATAAAATAGAGGTAAGATATAATAATAAAATGTACAATATATATGATAACAACATGTATATAAACTGATAGTTTTTTTTAAAATAGTAATTGATGTTGATAACAGTTGATTGTTTGATGCTTATATTAGTAAAAATAGGGATTGATGTTGGACATATTAAATACAAATCTTTAAATTTTTATAACTTTTTATAAAATAATTAAAATAAATAATTAAAAATAATATTGTTTTATTTATAAATATTTGTTTTAGATAAAAGTTTTTTAAGTAAATTTTCTTCATCTCGTGAAAAGCGTATCAACATAAGTGTTGAAGTTCTCCCAAAAGGTTTGTTATAAAGTTTTATTTTTTTATATAGAAGTTGAATTTTTTTTATTATTTAATCGGGATTAAAGAAAATTTAAGTGTTGTTTTGAATCTCTGGTGTAGTGTTGTTGTGTAGAATCTCTGTTTTAGTGTTGTTGTGTAGAATCTCTGTTGTAGTTTTGTTGTGTTGAATCTCTGGTGTAGTGTTGTTGTGTAGAATCTCTGGTTTAGTATTGTTGTGTAGAATCTCTGTTTTAGTGTTGTTATGTAGAATCTCTGTTGTAGTGTTGTTGTGTTGAATCTCTGGTGTAGTGTTGTTGTGTTGAATCTCTGGTGTAGTGTTGTTGTGTAGAATCTCTGGTGTAGTGTTGTGTAGAACCTCTGGTGTTTGCTCAGTTACCAACTAGTCACTACAACTACATAACATATACTCGCTTTAATTTCTGGTATTCCTTTAGATGTAATGTTTTTAGTAATGCATTTCCAATATGTTCCATTTAATGTTTTAAAGTACTGCTCATAAAAGTAATTTTTTCAACTACTCCTAGTCAGATTAGGTTTTTGAATCATCACAATCAACCTGCTACTGATAAGATGTAACCTGGCACTACCTGCCTAATGTCCTGCTACCTTGTAGGGTTTGCTTTTCTAGGTAAAGCTATGAGAAATAAACTCTATTTCAAAATTTCTCTGCCTTTATCTCTAGCCTTTATCTCTATTATCTCTTCTTGGTTAAGAAAAGGCTAGAGATGGTGTTTCAATAAAAATACTCATCTTGAGCAGGCTTGGTCAGGAAGCGGGTGCAATTGCACTTGATAATTAACCACAGAAATAATATTTAGTTGCATAAAACCGGCCAGATTTTTTAGTCGTTTTGAGAACATTTTAAAAACAAACATAAGATTAACTGGACCTATGAGAGACAGTTAAAAAAAGAAAAATAGCATTTAACGCAAAAAAACGTCAAGTAAAATAAATACGATTAGAACAAATATTTTTTAAATGTTGCGCTTTTATAATTTTTTTTATAAAATTAAGCAACATTTTTTATATAAAGTAATAACTTACTATTGACATGTCATTTTTACGCTGTGGCACATAAAAAGGCCACTAAAATAATGCAGCCCCTGGCCCTGAAAAGCCCAACAAGTTTCAACCAATAAAACTAACGCTAGATGATTTATTTATAAATAAAAAAGTTTTTTCAATAACTTTTTTATGCTTCGCGTAGTTTGAAAAGTTTAATACATTTGAAACAATTCTTCTTAGTAAGATGAACAAATGAAGTAATTAAGTCATTGAGTTATTGTTGAAATTCAATTAGCTATATAGAAATTAACTAAAAACGTTAAATTACTTTGTGAGGAGGAAGCGGAATTGCTTCACAATACCGCTGGGCTTTATAATTTTAATTAGTATTTAAAACAGAAAAAAGTAAATTTAAGGTTAAGTATAACGAGTTTGTAAGAATGGCTGAAGCAAAAATAATTAAAGTTAGTAAACCAATTTATTAGAACTTAAAAACTTTTCTTTCTTGCGGAAAGAATCAGTTATTGGGTACACTGAGGAAAACGGATTAGTGGTTAAAATTATTTGTATTAATTTTGATGATTATTAATAATTTCATTGAAAATGCAGTTATTATTGAAAGTATTTTTGTTTACAAAATCAATCGCACAAATTGCTTTAAAAGATTACATTTGTATAAAATACACATGCATAAAATTACATACATAAAATTACACACATAAAAATACATAAAAATACATCCCTTATATATAAAAAATAAGTATATACTAATAAAATCTATAATATATTTACAAAACGTTGACTAGTTAAAAAATATAAATTTAAAACATTTATTTTTGTAAACAAATGTTAGTTTAAAACATTTATAGTTTTGTAGATGTGGCTCCGAGAATGAGCCATAGTATTAAATTAATAGTTCATTTGATAGTATATTCTTAAAACAATTTATGCTAGAAATCTCAACGAAAACATAACAAAACTCAAATATTTCAACAGAATATTCTAGAACATTTGGTTAGTACTTTTGAATACTCTATAAATTTTGGCTAGTATTTTTTGATCCAATAGAATTGGTTGTTCGTAGATTTGACAGGTTTTTTGTGTTCGTGAATATTCTTTTTTTATTTTTAGGCGCAAAGATATTTAAGAACATTCGAGTTTATGTATGTTTCCATGTAAGTCCGTAAAACAAAATTTACGATAAAATAATGAACTTAGTTATTATTTTGCAGACAAACAAGGAAACATTCATAAACTTAAATGTGCTCAAAACGAATAAAAAATCTTGCCTGTTTTTCGCAACTAAGTATTATTTCCATGGTCAGTTATCAAGTGCGGTTGCACCCGCTTCCTGACCAAGCCTGATCTTGAGCAGATGTTAGCTGCATTCAGCTATGTTTTTTAAAAGGCCTCCTAGGACAAAACTTTAGTAGTGAACAGAATAACTCTGCTGACCACTTCTTCATTTATTAGGCTGAGGAATAAACATGCTGGAACTACAAGTATGCCTTAATTTTTACATTTACTTAATAACTATTTTCAGTCCTCATTTGTTGTTGAACCTCTAGATCAAATGCCAAATTTCAGGGACCGAACGCAAACGAAGTGCAATTTAATTGAAGCTACAATCGCACAAGCAGCTGTACAGCAAAAGCTTGAAGAGTTAATTGAAACAAAATCTAAAGGCTACAACAGAATGCACTCTCATGTCCTTCACAATTGCACTGTTGTAACCTCTGTACCATTAGCAGTGATCTACAGCAGCGGCCGCAAGAGCAAACCAGGTACTTGGTTAGCTTAAGAAATCTTTCCAAAGCAGAGGTCTCATACTTTAGAAAGTGCTTTACAAAATGTATGTTAGTCTGCACCAGGAATTCACCATCCAAGCATGGTCACCACATCTAAAAAGAAACATCAAAGAACTCGAGCGCATTCAGAAATTACAGAGATCTAACACAAATCGTGTGAAGAAAAGCTTACAATTCTAGGCATAACCAAACTTGAAGACATACAAATTAGAAATAATTTAATTCAGCAATATAAGATTGCATATGGTGCTGAGAAGATTGAGTTTGTTGTGCCTCAAGTCTACGCGCAAACTCTCTCTCAGCATAACCTTTGTAGCTGAATAAACAAACAAAAAAAAAAAACTTCTGCTAAGCTTCCTACAGTATTATCAGTTTAATGCATTGTTAAACATCCAAATTACTCTGGCTACTGCTGCTAAAGTTATTTATCATTTAGATTTTTCTATGGCTTGTGGTCTAGACAACATTTCTGTCATAGTCTTACAAAATTGTTCTCTAGAATTGTCTATTATTAAATAGTTTAGAGAATTGTCTTTAATTCTCACTAAACTATTTAATATATACTTGACTGAATCTAGTTTTTCTGCTTGCTGGAAAAATGCTGTGGTTTCAATTTATTAAAACTCTGGAGAACACTCCAAACCCTCCAACCATCTTCTAAATAGTCTTCTCTTTATTATTAGCAAGGTCTTTGAGTTTTTAATCAACAAATTTCTAAGAGGGGACTCTTGATCTAATAACTTACTCACTGATAGTCAGTAAAGAAGTTTTCGACAAAGTTTGGTATGCTGGTCTTCCCCATAAGCTTCTTTTATACAGTGTATCTGGGTAAATTTTTCAAAATTATTAAATTATTTATTTCTAAGCACAGTAAAGTCAACCTCAAAGACCAACAATCTTCTTCATTTCCAGTAAATTCTGGGGCACTTCAAGGTTTTATCCTTAATCCTGTATTGTTTCTTATCTGCACTAATGTTCTTCCAGACAATCTTATATTTAGAGTGGCTTTATTTGCTGACGACTCAAATTTATACTCCTGTCTTGAAAAAAAGTCTTTTCTTTTCAATTGTTTAGAACATGCAACCAATCTTCAATCTAATCTCAAGCTGTCATAGAATCTAATCTAATCTTCTATGACAGCTTGGGTCATGCAGTAGCTTGTGAATTTTAACTCCAATAAAACTGCGGAACTGCAAACAAATCACAATATTTTCAACATTCCTTTATTAATGAATGGTAATCCTCTCACTGAGTACTCTTCTTTACATCTTTTTGAATTATCATTCGCTTCTGATCTCTCCTGGAAAAACATTATCTTACTCTTTATTTCATTCTCTACTTATACAAATCTCTTGTATCTGTTGTCATGTTTGTTCTTCTAATAATGCTTTTTCTCTTCTAGCTATCATCTTTAGTTCTATCAACCAAAGCTCATTCTTGCTTGACTCATCATTCAACAAAGTCATATCTTTTTACTGTCCCTTTTTTATTTGTCTCTTCTTAAAACTGTTATTCATTTCATTTTTTCCCTTGCATTTCAATACTTTAGAACTCATTTCCGTCTTCGTGTTTTCCTGATGCATACAATCTTCTGCTTTTTATGTCTTCTGTCAACCGTTTCCTTGCTCTTTAAGTCTATTCTTTATTTTTTAGTAACTCCCAACCTAATAGGCAGCTTTGTTGGGAGTGAAAGAAATTTAAAAAGATATATATGATAATATTTTTGAGTAAATAGCTGTAAATATTTCCATTCACCTGATATCATGAATGAAACTCAAGTAACTATTATTTCCATCCAACTGAAATAATGAATCGAACTCAAGTAACTATTATTTCCATCCAACTGATAGAATGAATGGAACTCAAGTAACTATTATTTCCATCCACCTGATAGAATGAATGGAACTCAAGTAACTATTATTTCCATCCACCTGATAGAATGAATGGAACTCAAGTAACTATTATTTCCATCCACCTGATAGAATGAATGGAACTCAAGTAACTATTATTTCCATCCACCTGATAGAATGAATGGAACTCAAGTAACTATTATTTCCATCCACCTGATAGAATGAATGGAACTCAAATAACTATTATTTGAAAAAGAGAGCAATAAAGGAAAATTAATTTTAACAAAATGATAACTTTGATTTTGTGAAAAAAAATTTTCACAAAATCAAAGTT